CTCTCTCTTCCCCTCTCCCACCTCCTTTTCCCAGTTTCCCCGAGTTTTGTTCAATAAAGAGAGTTTCTATTTTTGAACACACGTGTCCTTTATTTTGTACATCAGGAAGGGGAGCTAGGGAGGGGTAAGTGGAAGGAGGCGAGGGAGGAATGGGGTACGAGCCCCCGATGGGGAGGACTGGGGTGGCTCTGCGGGCTGCTCAGGGTGGAAGTTCTCCTGAAGCCCCTTGATTGACCCCCCCCTCTGGATGGCAGCCTGCGGCAAGTGCAACCGGGCTGATGGCCGAGTGCTGTGATGTGCCGAGTGTGGGCACTCAGGGCACTCCAAGCCAGGACTGCTTTGCAAGAGGGGAACCCCTGAGAACTGTCTGTCCGGGGTGGGGATCGGGTCCCTTTAAGCACAGCCCTCGGCTAGCCTGAGGCAGCAGCTCCACACTCTAAGTCCTAATCTGATGCTCTGCCGGCACTGCTTCCGGCCATCCTTAACCTCAGTTCAGGGTCCACTCAGTGTGGATATGCTAGTTCGAATTAGCAAAACGCTAATTCGAACTAATTTTTAAGTCTAGATGCATTAGTTCGAATTAGCTTAGTTTGAATTAACTAATTTGAACTAAGTTAGTTCGAATTAGTGCTGTAATGTAGACATACCCTAAGAGAGTTAGAAAATAATTTTCCTTCACTAGTATGGAAGTATTTTCATGTAAATAATTTTTCTTTCAGGTAATAATAATAAAATAGAATTCCTGGGGTTCTACTCTCATACTCTACTTTGAGTAAATCTCACTGATATCAAGTGAGCACCTAGGGAGTGCTCCAAGGGAACTCTGAGAAGAGCTGAAGCATCAGAACTTTGTGAAGGGAAGTTACTCATATCCTCTGAGTTTGCATGTGGTTTGGGAAGATGGGAGGGCAAGCAGGGTGACATAGGGTCCTCTGATTTCTCCCACCGGTGAGTAATTTGAAACACTCCAAAGTCATGAATCATTAAACCCTTCTCACCATTAAGTGGCATACATTATCTCTTACTGTTCTTAATGGCTATTAACTAGCTCAAGTTTTCAATCAAGTTTAAGAATTCCAATACACTAAATTATTCCCCACCTCTCCTGAGAAAGTTGTGGATCAGGGTACCCATAGCTATGTTACAATTACAATACTATTTTCAGAAATCTACAAATACAGGTAAGCAATTTCCTGTTTAGGACAGTGCATTATAAGATTTTTCCATTCCTGTTTTCTAAAGTATTGCAGAGATGTCCTGTAAGATAAAGAATAGAATCAAACAAGATTAAGAGGCTTGCTATGCTTAATGAATACCAGAGTTTCAACATGTTTTGTAATTGCTGGATTTCACCAAAATCACAAGAAGATTTTAAGGATGACATGGAGCAGAGATTTTTGGACAGCAGACTCATGCCAAAAGTAGAAAACAAATATGTAGAAACAGCATAATAGGTAGCTGTTATATTTGCCTCCCCAAAACTTAAGCCTTTAGATGCACGCTAATGTGTGCTAATAATGTGCTAATATGGATAACATCTGTACCACTGCAGCTTTTAAATCTTATGCTGCAATTTCTAGTAAGTATTCATTGGGGGAAAATTTGGAATATCATTATTACATTTTTCTCCAGGTGCTGAAAAAGGTCTAGACTGAATGCTAGATTTAGAACATACATTGCACTTTGTCCACCACAGTCATGAAATAGGCACCTTCTGTATTTTGTATGCAGTTGTTCCTTATTTACACGTCTACAATACAAAACACGACACACAATCCATAATAGACACCATGCCTCCCACTTTCACTAAATAATGCATCCAAGTATTTCAGATATCTAAAGGGAAAGTCTGTAAGAAAAGTATGTAGCCATTAATCTGTATAAACGATTTGGAGGAGAAATGCATGTGTGCATTTAAGGGAATACTGAACTAAATCAAAGAAAAGAAACATTTTAACTGACATGAAAATAAATGTTACCCAGTGATCACAGAAATCTGTTTCTGGAAAGTAGGTACATACTTGGAGATTTAAAGCATAAAGTATGTTTATAGCTCCCTCTGATGACCATTGGACACTACACAACATAAGTCTTCTTTTATTTTTGTTCATGCATTCAACTGACAGCTGACTGGTTAAATTCTAATTGCTTCCAAGTGAGGTCAGCAAAGGTATTTATCGAAAAGAACTGAACAACAGGCTCAACACATACACGCGCATGCACAAGCACATACACACACCACAACTCTTGCGTGTTGATTTATGGAAACAATTATAATTCTGCTGAAGACTTTCTGAGCTAAGAAAGTTTGTAGCTACGGCAGAGAGTCTCATGTTGCAAAAGGCAGACAACAGAAATGGAATACTTGTATACCCAGCTGTTATCAGGAACAAGTAAGTTATCTATCCTTTAAAAGTATGTTCAAGGCATTGTAACAACTAATAACTTTTTCAGTTTTCTTGATTGATGTATGTTAGAATAAACCTTCTTGACATTTTCTTTAAACATCTACAAGTAACTGAATTATGTATAATATATAAAAATAGAGTCCCATGAACATTTGGTCTGTCTTTACATTTAAACTAGAGAAGTGTGGGCAGTTCTCTAGGAAGAATGTGGCTAACTCCAAAGGTATAGGCATGAAGTAATCAAATGTAAGAGATGCAATAGCAGTCTACTTAGTTCAGTAGCTCAGCTAAATCAATAGTTTTCTTTTTGAAAGCCTTATTACTGAAGTACAAAGAGAGAATTGTACATAGTTCAAATGAGTGCTGCTATCAAGATCTCATAGTAGATATGTCTTGCATGTGGGCTTGTGTATGTTTTTTAAGACGTTAACAGTGTCACTGCATAAAGCTAAAAAGGTTTTTTTGCTACGCTACAGTAGTCATACAGCATATATTACAGTTGCACACGTGTAACAATTGACCATAAAAATTTATCCATGACACTTTTCTCATAGATCTTTTACTTTCAGTGCAAGCAGCAAAATCAAGTAGTACAGAAGGTCATGACAGCCAAGGTTATTATAACCTGTTTCTTTAAAGGATATCCTGACTGAAAAGATATTTAAGGAGCTATCCTGTTTCAACATCAGTAACTATTAAGGAATAAGGATCAGAATTCTGGAAGAGGAAGCAATCTCAATTAAATCAATCTACAACTCGTTGTAAAGACAGAAGGCAGGTCAATGACCTAGAAGCAACGATCTACTTGAGATTTAATTTTCATTATGTTGTTCATGAACACCCAGAACACTGCACTATAATGCACAAATGGATACTGACATGGATCCTGCCAACTTTGCTCTACAGATCATATTTTTACATTATCTTTCTAGTGGGCACTATATCTTTAGCTTGCAATGACATGACTCCAGAGCAAATGGCTACAAATGTGAACTGTTCCAGCCCGGAACGACATACCAGAAGCTATGATTATATGGAAGGAGGGGATGTAAGAGTAAGAAGACTTTTCTGTCGAACACAGTGGTACATGAGGATTGATAAACAAGGCAAAATAAAAGGGACACGAGAAGCAAACAACAACTACAGTAAGTAATGTCTCTGCATTTGAAATTTGTATTGAAAGATTTTAAAATGTGGCTTTTTATCCCTTCATTTATGATGCTTTCACAATAATTTTGTAAAGTACAGTGACCATTCTATTAGACATGTTTTCCAATTAATCATGCAGCAGGACATTTGGTATTGATTTTGAAATGCGTCACTTTAAATAATACGTTACCAGTATGTTGTAGATCTACCAATGTATTAGTTACAGCTGGTAGCTATTAGCAAACAGAGAGCGTATTTTAACAAGTGAATTAAGGTTGTACATCTGCAAAAATATAACCACAAACTCTATGCTCATAAAGTACTTATAAAACATTAAACCACATTTATATAGGACGCAAATGATCTACAAGCTCAGTATGTGTGATTTAGCAATAAATATATATTCAATATTAGAACATTTAATGGAAAGAATTATTAAAATTGTCTTGCAAAACCAGTTGGACAATTTGCCGGCTAGGAACAAAATTTATTATAGCTTTTACAGCACATTATTACTATAATAATGACAAAATATTCTCTTCTCTCATTTCTAAAAAAGTTCACCCACCCGGAGAGGGTGGACATGTAAAATTTTACAATTATGCTTTTAACATGAGCTAATGGTTTTTTATAGTAATCCTGATTCACCTATATCAATATTTAAAATAATTTTCATATTTTGCATGTGCTGTTCTTACCAATTTGACAATTTATATACGGTATTGCAAATTTAGGAAAATATCACAACTACTTCAAGAAAATTGGTGCGTGATTTCTTTAATTCAGAACAAAATAAAAATACAGAGAACTATGTATTTTAGTGCTTAAAATGAGAAAAAGTACAAAATAATTATTGCTTTAGAGTGTCAGAGGCATCTGTTTTTCCAGTGAATAGTGTTTATAGGCATCTTAAACATCAAAACTCTGACCTGTGATGTTTAAAAATGTTGTTGGGTTACTTGCCATATAAATTAGGAAGCATTATATAATAGCCAAAAGAAAAACAAAGTGAAAGAGTTTGTAATATGATTGGTCATTTTCAGTTGAAAATTTATTTTCCCTCCCAAATTCTCATTCTTTTCAAGTACTATGCTTGGCTTGTCCGCATCATCTTTACTTCAGGATTGTAACTAGCATTGGGCATCTTACATAACTCAAAGAGTTTTCTTCAGAAATGTTACTATTTCTTTTAAAATTAGTTTTATATTAATCTCCTTTCCCCCACAATCTATCACATTTTACATATTTATATGATTTGAAAAATGTAAGACATCAATTTATTGGCTATGGGCCAAATCCAAGAGATTTTTTTTAGTTAGTTTTTACAACCTTTCATTGACTTCCACTGGGACACTGCCAGAGTAAAGACCAAAGGACTATATTCTACAAGCGAAATCTTTGCCTCATTGATTTTAATCAGGCTAGCACTTCATCCTAATCATTCATATATAAAAATAGACTTCTGATTTTTTGGGAACACTAGTACATGCTCAGTTATATTTATCTTCTTATTACGTGTATACTGTCTCTGTAGATGAATGTAAAGCTCCACACACTCAAATAATTATGCAAATTTAGATACCATGCTCTTTAACCAATGTGCTGGTTGTAATTTACCATTATCTCAAATTCAAATAAAGACTCATAATTTGTGATTCCCTGTTCTTGCTGCATACTTATGATTTTAATAACTGTTTATTTTAGGATTTAATTATTAGTATCTAGGTTTTTACTAAAATGTAGTATATTGACTCAAACGTTTTTAAAAAAAATTTTTTACAATACAAAATCTTCAATACTTTATTTACCAAATCAGGTGTGATTTAAAGAGATGCCTTTGCCACAAATAATTTTATGTAGAGATATGAGGGAGGTTTCCCAATATATTAAATTTAATCTGCTTGCAGATCTTAATTTACTGCATGTATTAGGAAATGATTATTTTAGTGTTTTTTTGTTGGATAAACAGGATTGAGAAAACAAGGCATAGATAGAGGTTATGGAGAAAAAAATCAATTTAACACTGATAACAGGGTAATATTATCAGAGAACTTCCTGTGTATTATCAAATCAATACAAATGAACATGACAGAAAACTTTCTGAAAATGTGCTTATGGCCATATACTAAACCACATTTTCAGTCTGAATTCAGATAAGAAAGAAATTGAACTAATTTGTTTTCCCCCTGACAAATGTTATTTTTACAGCAATGAACCCAGACACCTCTTATTTGTATCAAACTTGTCTTTAAAATTATATCTATTACCTAAATGGACAAATCCATGTGTGTCAACTTCACTCATCTCTTTTTAGTGACTCACTTGTTCGTAATGCTCAGTGTGGGAAGTGGTAAACCAGACTATTAATTTTCTCTGGATGATGGTACCCCAAAGGAGTCAACCACTTTACCTTCTGTGATTGTTAATGATTCAGTTGCTACTCTGAGAAATGTCTTTGTGTTCTACACTGCCAGCTATGATATGCTGGCACTATATAATCTTAGAACAATGCAAAGATATTTCCTGGATTTTCTACTTTTGAAAGAGAAAACCATAATTGTCTTCCATAAGAAATGGGAATGCTGTTGTAAAAACACTGTGGTTTCCTGTATCTTGAAAGTAGGAAAGAATCTAAGATAAATCTGGTCATAAAGAAACAGATGTAAAAGAAGAACTCAACACCCCCTTATCTGCTGGTTCACTATCGGAAACATGAGATTCAGATTCAAGTAGGGAAATCTCATTGTAATATTTAAGTGTTAATGAAAGATGATAAGATTGACAGTCATGCAGATTGAAATCACCAGTTTATTCATATACCATACATTGTATAACATGGACCGTAGGCAAAGTAAACTTCCTCACAACTAGAAATCTTTCAAGAATGTCATTAATGGAACCCTATAAAAATCATAGCAAACATAGAAAACACATTCATCAAGCAGAAATTGGTGTACAGTTCATTGTATTAGTGGATTGCTGTTACATGATAACATATTGAAGCAAATATTTAACATTAATCTCAAAATTATTTCTCTAAATTCAAAGTTAAATTGTTACAAATTATACAGTTATTGTAATAATTCAGTCAGCTTGATTAAGTCTAATAAATAGCATGCACCCCAAAATCTAACCTAATCTTCATGTTTTCTGTGTTAGCAAAGATAACTGTTGAATCCTGTAATAGATCAATAATGACCCTCTTAGACATAAGAAGAATGTTTATGGCACACACACTTCAGTAAGGAGAACTTCAAATAAATCTTTAAAAATGAATAGCTATTGAAATATTGTTAATTGGTCAGATTTTATTTAAAACAAGACCCTTTGTTTCAAACATCTCTACATCTGTTGGCAGAGCCCCTTAACTTAGCCATACAGCTGAAAACTACAGAGTAAATTTGGTCATTCATAAGATAGCAAACCCCACCACTAGGCAAAGGAAATCAGCATCTGACAGAAATAACCCCACACTTCAGCCACAAAGTGCAGAGTAAGAGCGAAGAGCCTCTAACTATAACACTAAAACAATAAAGAAAAGATGTGAGGCAGAAGCCTTGTCCCTTCAGAATATTTCTTACCTTTTGCTTTCAAAACACCCATTTATTGTATTTTGCCTAAGTTTGCTTTTCCCTAGTCAACAGTCAAACATTTCTTAATTCATTTGAGACTTACACTGGCACATGAAATATAGACTGAGAAGGTATTCCTATGTCAGTAATAGAATGAAACCAAGCAAGTGCAGCTTGATCGTCTCATCATTTCATTTCATTTCTAATCTTGCAGATTGGATTTTATGAAAAATTGAGGTAAAAAATAGTTTGTTTTGACAATCTGACTTTGTTTTTACGATCAGGACTACATGACGGTCTGGGAATTTACATATTGCATTGGTCTTGATGCTTCATTCTAATCGAATAGTAACCATTTAAAAAAACTGAGAATTTTTAAATATGAATTTCCAGTATCAAACCGCCTTTCAGACTAGGAATTACCTTCTCTCCCACCCTCATTCTTCTTTGGATAAGTCCAAAATTCCTACAAGAAATGAGGCACTAATGAGATCTTAGCACAATATGGCACAAATGTCACACAAAGACTTGGCCTTGTGAGACTTCTACTGTTTTGATCAAAATCTTGTAACAACATTCCACACAGTTTCAGCATAATTAATCAAACCCTAAACACTAGCCTTAGTCCAACTTTAAATTTGTTAATTTTCAGTGTGGTGGATTTAATCTAGAAGGGGACCAAACTGCTACATACTGTATACACCAGTGCTTCTTAAGCTGTGTTCTGTGGCACTAGGCAGTAGGAGGTGTGTCGTGGAGAACAACAGAGTTCAAAATGGCTGCCCTTAATGGGACAGGCAACTTTTTTTATTTTTTACTCAATAACTTTTCCCCAGCCTCTCCCTCCCTCCCCCCAAAAATATATATATATTGTTTGGTGTTCCTCGGTCTTAAAAAGTGTAAGAAACACTGGTATACACACATGCACAAGAAGTCAGCATTTCATTGTGCATAATACAATATAAGTCTCAGAAGGTTAACTGTGTTAATTTTTAACTTTAAAAGCAATGAGTAGTCCAGTGGCATCTTAGAATATATACATAGGATCATGAGCTTTCGTAAGTCCAGCTCATCTGAAGAAGTGGATTTGCACAAAATTTAATGATACTATATATATATTTGTTAAGTCTCCGACAGGTCACCTGACTACTCATTTTTACAATAGAAAAAAACTGTATAAACTGGATGTGATAGGCAATGCCAAGAATGGAAAGTCATGTTATTTGGATTCTAGCAAATATGATACAAAAGACACACAAGGCTGAACCATCTTGTAATAGCTCCTGCTGCTCTGTACACATATCCTAAATTTAGTATAGAAAAAGCAGAGATTATAATCTGAAGTGTAAGACCAGAATGTATCTAAAGAAACAACAACCAGAAAACATCATGATTACCAGGTAATTGTGTCCTTAAGTTAGGTT